ACGGATCAATTCCGTAATGTCGCCATTAAACACATTAAGAACTGCACCGTAGTTTTTTACATTCCTTTTATTTTTCCCAAGTACTTTCAATATCATCTTCAGGTATAACACTTTTCTGTCGGTCTTAGCTTGGTTAAATGCTGCCGCTGGCTGTTGCGTTAGTCATTGTGGTCTAAACTCTTGCTCCGCCCACGTTGTGTTTATTGATAACAGAGCTGACAAAGATCAGATTGCTGTCAGCATTTGCAGTGTTGGTTTGATCCCGGCAAAGCTGTGTCATAAAATAAATTTAACACAAAAAATGTTCTTGCAGTTCAAGACAAGAATTCTTCAAGGTCTAGTTCTATGAAAATTTATATACTGTTTTTATACAATAAATTGGTTATGGTACAAAACATTAACCCTACCCACTTTGCGTTTAATCGTTACACTCTGCTCAACTTGGCTAAGTCTGGAACAAGGCTTGGATTAGAGGTTCTCTCTGGCGGTAAGGCACGTGGGTTTCGGCAGAGTGGTCGCCTCTCGTCTAGAACTACTTGAACCTCTGTTGGCCATCTCAGTATTCTGCTTAAATCGACTTCCACCCAAAACTTGCGTGGGGTTGACGTGGATATGGGGACTCAGTGGTTTCTCTATCTCCAACAAGGGCCTCCTTGTCTGGCTCTGGATAATTAATTATACTTCCAAATTTGGAGAAACTCCTTTTCCGCCCAACTCCTTCCTTCTTTTATTGTGTCTCGTATCAATACTTTCCAATGGGCGGAGTCAATTTCTCCGTCTTCTACCTGCTCCTATCACTTTGGCTGGTCTCAATCTGGCTCTCAATCGCGTGGCGTAGCTTAGCTTAGGGTCATTAATTAACATTATCATTTTAAATTTCGCGTAGGCGAAATTTCTCAGCCTGGTTTGCTTAAAAATCAGAAATTTACTAGCTACTTCCTCTGGACAGTCTCCCACCCTTAATCGTGCCAGGGTCATTTCACTCCAAGTACACTAGGTTACACAAAGAAACTCTATTTTCTTGATTTGCTTAATATCATATTTTATCTATTCTGCTTATATTATTTTTTCATAACCGGTGTTTTTTGAGCTGCCTTATTAATCAGCTATCATTCTGTCCATCGTTCTATTCATTAACACTTCTCGTCTCGTTCCAAACTATGTTCCTGATTTAACTACATTTCTTTGCATTTGCCAGTGTCATATAGGGGGTGAATTGCTAAGACAAAAACTAATGTAATAGTTGTTATTTTTTGTAAAATGCACATGAAATATATAGTAACTGGAGTATGAATTATTTGGTAGAATTACTTTATCATAGTACACAAATATTTTTCTTGTTTAGACATTAATAAAGGAAAAATTATAGTCTTAAAGTGAACTGTTACAAATGGTAATTGTTACTTAGAGAATTTTTTTTACTATACATTAGAATTCTTTTTGGTCCAAATTTGATGGCTTAAAAGTGTATGGCAAACAAACTTTTCCTATATATATATACACATATATATATATATATATATATATATATATATATATATATATATATATACACACACACACACACTTTCACTGGGAATTTTTGCCATTCAATTGGAGCAGTTTAAGTTTAAAGTCAGCCCACCCAAAAATCAATTTTAGTAACAACATTTGAGTGCAATTGAGGCACATCCCCAATTTTTTTTTTTGGGGGGGGAGTGAACAATTTGAATAGGGGGGTCACCCTGAAAAGGGAACTGTATAATAATAAATAATATTATTGTAGTAATTTAAACTATTTATTTTTATTAAAGTTTTTATGAAAAACATGTATCCAGGACCAGAGAGTAAACAGTAAAACGTTGCTGAGAGTTATAATGGACAGGAAGTAGTGGAGAGCCACTGTCGCCAACAATTTGAACTCAAAACCGGCACTGAAGAATTATCTATCAAACAAAGAAAAACATTTCATCGAAATCAGATGAAAACTGTGGAAATGCATAAACATCACGCACACACACGTTTTGAGAATTATAGTTTACACCTTTTAATAAGAATTGCTTAATTATATTCCTTTATTGTCTGTTTCCTCACTAAAGTCTTCTCATTTTCTTTTACTCCTTGTGTTCTAGTGGCATTATCATTTTGCTTAGGGTGAAATGATTAAAACAAAAAAGAAAGAAAGAAAAACGTACTTGTCCGTGGGTTCGAGTAGTGTAGTCATTGAAGATGTGAGGTTTTAGGTAGCAAAATCTCTCATATCATACATGCGTGTGCATGTGTGTGTATATGCGGAAATGTTTTATTGAATGTAGCTAAGGCCTGTTTATTCAGTTTTTTTTTTTTTTAAGAGTTACCGATTTTCAGCCAATATACGAGTTGCAACACATTCTGATAAAACTTTCAAATTATCCAAAGTTCATCATATTTTGTCTCATTGCAGCTCGGAGGGTCACGGCCACATCAGGTTGAAACACCAATTCTCATATGATGACTGAAGTTAAGCAATGTTGAGCATGGACAGTACCTAGATGGTATAGGCTTGGATATCTTTCTGAAACCTGTTTCTTCTTTATTGTCTTTTCCTCACTCAAGACTTTTCATTCTTTCACTTACTGTAATCCCATGCAAACTAGTGGCATTATCACAGAAAAGAAGGAAGCAATCTCCCAGTTAGATCAAAACTTACAACAGCTCTACAGTGAGGTACCTTGATTATTTTTTCTTCCTGTGTCTCAATATTCTATGATCGTGCAGTTGTTAGTGGTTCAGAATGAGAAACCAACAAGCTGAATTTAAATTCCATTTGAGTTTGTTACATTCATGATAATACAAAGTACTGGGTATGATGATAAACTACATCTGGCAGCAAGGCCTCTGATCAGGAGATTGGAGGTTTTGAGGAGTGTGGAACTACCTCAAAATTGCTGCTGCTCCCCAGGTCCACCCTGATTTGGGGTGGTAGCACCTGTTAGAGTCCCAGCTAGGGGCAAATAGTGAACTCTCAAACAAAATCAAAATGCTATGAAAGTATAAAAATACATTTTTATATATAAAATTAACAATACCTATTTATAGTAGTAAAAATTTAGTTGAAGCCATAAAATTGCGTAAAATATTTAGATTTCAGCATTAAATACCCAACAGAGTTTGATATGCTGCTTTAAAAAAAAAAAAAAAAAAAAAAAAAAATCAACAAATCAACTTTAACACAAATATTCTTCTCCTCCCAGCTATGGGTTAAATAGTAGAGACAGCCTGGACTTTTCAGGAAAAAGGACAATTCTGAATTCAAAACCAGTTCAGAGGCTAGCAATACCATCCTGTAAGAACATACTAGCAACAGAAACCACAGCAGCAATGTTTGGCATGCTGGGAGCTCTGACCCCCATACTCCTCAATCGATGCTATGGGAGTTGATGGTTAGTTCAATATCATATATATTGTTTATAGAAGCTATTTTTCTTGCATTTATACATGCAATTAGTAAATAAAGCTCTGAAGAACTGACTCTCAATTCATTACAATCTTAACCTGTTTAAATCTAGGATTAACTGTTAACTTCCCCACCTAAACTATGCCGCTTACTTTCTAACCCTCTACCTGTAGTGGCTCTTGGGCCTTGTACAAAGTTAACATTTTTTTTTCACTAAGGCATTTGAAATACTTAACTTGATTGTTAGGAAATTTGTTTTGCAGACAAAAATTCATTAGTATAGTAAGGTTGATCCTCACTGAATGTCTCACTAGTATCCTCTCCTGCATTGACCTAATACAGGCACGGGCAATCTTCTTTGAACAGTGAGCTGCATAAGGTACAGTGTATCACAAGGCAAGCCGTAGACCTAAAAGAATTAAGGCATTATTATTAATACTATTATTAAAGATACCGCAGCCATTTTCTCCAACAAAACCATCTGCTTTAGAAGTGGGGAAAAGTTTTTGTTTTTCTTTGGAGAAAAGATTCCTTGTATAATTTAAAAAATTGAAGTATCAGTATAATATTTTCACTGATGACAGCATGATTAATGCAGATTGCTGGCAGTGATTCATTTCTAATTCATTCATTTGAGTAGACAAAAATATTTGTAAAAGAATAATAATCATTGGTGTTTCAGGTTTCTGAAGCAAAAAGATGTTTACACTTATGACCTTCCTTAGTGAAAAATCGCCAATGATTTAAAATGCTGATGACGTTACTTTCACTAAATGGTTACAAAATTCAAGAAACATTGTACTTAATCATTGTTTATGTACATAGTTATGCATGAGAGTGACAATGAAAAGAAACAAACATTTTAATAAATGCTATTTTCCTCATGAATTTAAGCATGCCATTCACAAAGACAATTGGGACGCAGTTTGCCCATGACTTGTTTAAAGCAAGAGTGATTAAGTTATGATCAGCAGGATGGTGTTGCAGGTCATGTGTTTAATCTTTATGGGCTTCTCTATACTTTTAGTCATGTATCAAACTAACAAAAAAAAAAAAAAAAAAATTGAAAAATGAGCAGAAAAGTTGACTATATCAAGTTAACATTAATTTAAAATAATGTTGCACAAACTAGCTAAAAACTGCAAATGCAGTAACCAGTTTTTTAATTTCCACAATTTTTTTAGCAGCAACATGTAAAATATACATTTAAAATATGTTTCTCCATCTGAAAAATAAAGTGATTTAATACCAGAAATGAACCCACAAAGAAAGACCTGCGTCCATGAAACACATTCCAAAACATTCACACAAGGAGAGCGAGAGATTGAATGATTGATCTGTTTTTTATGGTTTATCAACACTTTGCATGTTATGGAAAGCCTGAAAATATTTTTAGATTGTAAGTATTTTTGGGAGATAATAATGATTTAGTGATACAATTCTTACTAATTAAGCCATAACCATGATAGAGAAGAGATGGATTCATACCTTTACCAAGGGTATTTGTGTCTAAGTGAATATAACAAACCCAACTGGAATTGGAACTTGGCTCTCTAATTAAAAATTCAGAGGCATTATCCATTACACGACCTGCACAACAACTAGAGAGAAAGAAGAAAGGAGGAAAAGAAGAAAGGAGGAAAAGAAAAGAAAGGAGGAAAAGAAAAGAAAGGAGGAAGAGAAAAGAAAGGAAAGAGAAAAGAAAGGAAAGAGAAAAGAAAGGAAAGAGAAAAGAAAGGAAAGAGAAAAGAAAGGAAAGAGAAAAGAAAGGAAAGAGAAGAGAAAGGAAAAAGAAGAGAAAGGAAAAAAAGAAAGAAAAAAAGAAAAAAAGAAAGGAAAAAGAAGAGAAAAGAAAGGAAAAAGAAGAGAAAAGAAAGGAAAAAGAAGAGAAAAGAAAGGAAAAAGAAGAGAAAAGAAAGGAAAAAGAAGAGAAAAGAAAGAAAAAAAAATAATGGTTAAGCAAAAGTAGAAACCAACACCCACTCAAAGACAGAAGCAATGAGAAAGAAAGAAAAATAATGAACACCTGACACAAAAGAGGAATGTTTCTAATAAAAGTTTAATTACAAAAATTGATACAAAGTCCCTGAAATAACAACATAAGGAAGGAAAAATGGAAAATAGAAATAATAATTAAAAAAAAATGAAAAAAAATGAGATTACACTGTTTCTTTGGAAATGGTAAATTGCTGCTCTTACTAATTCTGGGAAGCTAGCAAAAAAAAAAAAAAAGAAAAGGAAAAGAAAGACTTTTTTTAATGCAAAAGAAAGAAAAGCAAGCTAGCAGATATGATCTAATATAAATGAATACATGCATACATAGATACAAATGGTAAATATTTTATGTAAGCATGCACTTCAAAAGAAATGATATTTTTCCTTTCTTTGTGACATTATATATATATATATATATATATATATATATATATATATATATATATATATATATATATATAAGCTGAATTAGGTGTAGATGTTACAAGAAAAGAAAATGAAATTTTTCATGAGAGTGGACATTGTGGAAAGACATTACTGTATCATTCAAATGATCAGTGATGTCATCATCAACACAACCACTAACTCACCAGTCAGAATTGTAGCTAAATGCTATCATAGAGACAAGAGAGAGATCTTTATATTATATATATATATATATATATTACATCCCCATATTTCTCTCTTATCAAATGGTCAGTTTATTGGGTAGATCAAATTTTGTATAACCATGACCATATGGTGGATGAAGTGTTTAAGAATGTGTTTTATTTTTTTTTCTTTTATTAATATATTTACTATTTTTTTATTCAATGTTTCAAGCACTCACTAAGATCTCAATTCTTAAGGAAAAAATAATTGTTGTTTAATTGTATCTACAAGAATAGAATAGAGCATTGTGAAAGTAATTATATGGGTGGGTTGTTGAGAAACAGCTCTTTGCAAATAAATGTGCATTAAGAAATATGTTTGGAAAAAAAAAAAGTAAAATAAAACATCTTTCTTTATTGTGCCATTTATACAAAAAATTAAAAAAAACAAAAAAAAAAAAAAAAAAAAAAAAAAAAAAAAAAAAAAAAAAGACAAAAGAAAATTCCTAAGGCAATTTTGGTACATTTTCCATGTCTAGTAAGTAAATGTTTATGGAGGGTATTTTTCTTGCATTTTTTTTTTTTACTTTTTTAATTTTTTTTTTTTTTTTTTTAATGTTTTCTACATTTAAGCACATTCTCTTTTTTCCTAGGTTTCTTTTGTTGTAATCTCTCATGTCTTGTACAACAAAAATGAGTTTCTTTCATCCTTTGAAATTCACAAGTGAGCCCCAAATTTTTCTTTTTTTTTTTCTTTTTTATTATTTATAAGATCTTTAGCATTTTTTTTTCTTTTAATGCTCAAAATGCCTTCATGATTAATTTTTCAGCTTTTGTATAGCAAAAAAAAAAAAAAATAAAAAAAAATAAAAATAAAATCTCTCAATTTATGACGAGAGAAAGAAAAAAAAAAAAAAAAAAAAAAACAAAATCAACATTGGCCAAAGGTTTATTAACTTACCAACTTGTTGTTTATTAAATTAAACTTATCTTTTTTCTTTAAAAATTGTTTGGGGGGGGGATTTTTTTTTCCCTTCTTTTTTCTTTATTTTTAAAAGATTTTTTTCAATAAATCTTCTGTATTTATTTTAATTTTCTTTAGATTTATTCATGAAGTTAAGCAAATACTGGTCAATATTAGTGCTGACCACAAATATTAGCAAAAGTAGTGCCATTGAGAGAATCGAAAATACAGGCAAAATAGGTTGGAATGGGGGAACACTGTTGCAGACATTTTTTTTCCATTTTTCTTAAAAAAAAAAAGAAAAAAAAAGAAAGAAAACAACAACAACAAAACAAACAAGGCTTTAACGAATGGAACAAACGTTTTTCCAGACAATCTTGAAGAAAAAAAAACTGTCAAAGAAAAATAAAGTGGCTTCTATGGAATGATTAAAAAATATTTAAAATATAAAACTTAAAAAAAAAATTGTTTTTTTGATTTTAACTAAGTTTTAAAAGTGTAAAAGAAAAAAAATTACTCTCCTTATGTACAACAAATAGCAGCTAAATAATAACATTAGAAAAAATTTTTTTTCCAGCAGATGGAATGCTTGAAAGCAAATGAAAATAATTTTTTTTTTTAATTCTAGAAAACATCTTTTTTTTTAAAACAAAAAAAAAAAAAAAAAAAAAAACTAGAAAAATGAAGAAAAAAATTTTTTTGTTATACCCCCCTATCCCCCCTCCCCATCATCACCTTGATGTCTTGCAAGTTCTTACAATTTTCTCCAGATATATTGGCCTGTAAAAGCGCCAACCATAAGTAATACAGGGACATTCCAAGCACTTGCGGAATTGCAGCCTTCTGTGTTGCAATGACAATAAGTCATCTTTACTCCACTTGTGCCAATCCTGTCCTTGCATACACGGCCGTCGTAGGCACCAATCTCGCCACCTGAAGCACACTGCCTAATGTAACGAACTTGCCACTCATCGTCAACTTTGACTGAAAAATAAAAAAATTAAATCAAAAACATTAACAGAAACAACACAGATCAGTCAGGTCTAATTCAATATCACTGGGACTTGTGGAATACAGGAAGTTTATTACCTAAGAATTGGTTGCCAGAAAAGAAACTATCGAAGATGTAAACTACAAATCTGAGACAACAAATTCAAGCAAGCACAAAAATTTAAATATTTAGGAAGTGTTTAGGAAAATCCGAAAGGTGCTTTGGGATAATGAAATAGGACTTGTGAAAGCAAAGCAAAGAAATAGAAAATCTTTGTAAGAAATGATGAAGAGTACTGAATTGTTATGTAATATCAGTAACCGAAATTGGAAATACCAAAGTTAAACAAGTGCAAAAATGTAAATATCTAGGAAGTGTTTTAACAGAGGATGGAAAATGTGACACTAAAATGTGTATTGGGACAGTGAAAATGTCTTTCAAAAGGCAAGCCTAGTATAAAATAAAATTGACCATTGTAAACTTTAAATATTAATAACCTAATGTAAAGACAGTAGAACAGTGTGTGTGTATATATATATATATATATATATATATATATATATATATATATATATATATATGTGTGTGTGTGTGTGTGTGTGATTAAAATGAAAGATGGTCCATGTATGCTCCTTATAATATGTAGATTTAATAATCCAGTTAATAAAATTTGAGCACGTGCTTCAATTTAGTCAAAAGGCTAATATATAATAAATATCAATTTCATTACCAATATTGTTATCATTTTGTTGTTTTATTCCTCAAATTTTAATAACCAACAAATATGTGTGTGTGTGTGTGTGTGTGTGTGTGTTTCTCTTTCAGTAATTTACTATAAAAAAATTTAGTCTGGCGATAATTACGCCTCTCCACATTTTTCTTTTAAGATTATGCATGCCTGCCATAAATAAATGCAAGATAGATAATAAATAAAAAATAAGTTTAAGGTTAATGAAGTTGAACTAAAATAAAAATGTCCTTTTATTTAGACAGTTGTTGCTATAATTTCATAAAACATTCAAGTACTAGTATTATTAACCTTTTGACCAATATATTCATTTTTTTTTTTTTTTAAATCACAAGACCCAGATCATAATTCTGCAATCATTAATTAACCACAGATTAGAAATAAATTTGAGATAAAAAGAAACAGAATAAAAAAAAAAATACTGGTCAAAAAGAAACCATTACCAATGCTTCCAAGAAATTTAAATATTAACAAACAAAATGGTGGTGTATGGCATTTAGAAAAGAAACAGAAACAAATATGAACAGATTACTAGGTTTAAGTAACATTTGGTGCTTAGTCGTAACCTAATCAGTAAAGTGCTGCTATAAATAGATAGGCTTTCATGGATAAAAAGATATAAAATTTTAAATCTCACCGAAAGCTTATTTTTATTTCCAATCTGTGCTAATATTTAATGCTTGTTTCTGGAATAATCCACAAAATGTAATACATGGTGTGACAGAAATACCTCCCACATTTTAAACTGTCACATGTATGGTGCTAGTAAACTTAGGCAAGTGGCAATGGTGTTTTCATCTAGTCTTACCATTTTTTTTTATTTTAGATACCATCAGTTATCATTATGGCTTTGACTAGTGAAAACTGTGCATTTGCTGTTTTTACAAACTGGTGAATCTGTAATTGCATCACAGAGAAGTTTTCATGCTCATTTCTTGTTATATTGGAATGATGCTCTTCCAGATAGAAAATTGATACTGCTACATGTTGAAGATTTCAGAGCCACAAGTTCAGTTGGAAAGACCTTGAAGTGCTCAAACTTCAGAAAATGTGATGGAAAAGTTTAGAAATCATCTACAAGAGCATATAGAGGCCACCATTTGGCAGGAGGGGGTGTCATTTTTAAAACCAAATTAATAAAAAACTATAGCTATTTGATAAAACAATTAGGTAGATAATTCCTTTTTAAATACAGTTACCTTGATCTTTTTGTCAACTTTTAAAATGTGGGAAGTATTTCTACCACACACTGTATTATGTTGGGATGTAAATAATTTCCGCTTTTTGTTGATAAACTTCATTCTACAAAATATTACAACTTGTTCTCAAAAATGGGTATTTCTTATGACAACTTAATATTTTGATAAATACTTTAATAAGGCAATGTCATATTTTATATATTATAGACACACACACAAATAAATCCATTATAAATTTATAGAATACTAGATGCAAAATAACACTTAACGATATTCATATATTTTAGTAATTTTAGGAAATTTAATGACAAAGTGGAAAAATGTTTGTGTGAGGTTCTGTCCTTTAGGAATTCTGATGAAAGTGATGTTTACATTTTTCCTGTTTCTCATTAATTTTGTCTAAATATATATATATATATATATATATATATATATATATATATATACCATTTTTCTCCCATATTTTAATGATGCAATCAATTGATGCAGAAAGAGAAAGAGAGAGATGCATGCAGAGAGAGATATTGTTATGGTGAAACACACCTATTTTATAGTTAATAGACTCTCCCACCTAATATATGTAGGAGTAGTAAGAGAAACGAGGGTCAGTCGATGTCGGATGACAGTAGTCGACAGTTAGTCGAATACGAAAGTAGTCAGCGACCACAACAAGATTACTCTGCGTAATACCTATTATATCAAGTTCCTAACATTTTGTACGTCGAACTTATTTAGGACTGATTTAGTACAAATACAAGCCTCCACTGTGAAATAACTCCACAACAACTTTGGCAATGAGGATTCAAACTCATACGGTGGAAGAAAAAATTTGCTCGCCACAACAGAGATGCATGCAGAGAGAGAGAGAGAGAGAGAGAGAGAGAGAGAGAGGTGCATGCATGCATCCATAAATTCCTTTTTTTTTTTTATAAGAAAATGAAATAAAAAAAAAAAACAATATAGATTGTTATTTTTTTTTTTTTACTAATTTTTCTTTTTACATCTTATTCTTATTAGAATAAATCTCCATTGCTGAATTGAGAAGATTTTGTTCATGTCAGAACAAGTTCCGAAAATATATAAAAAAAAAAAAAAAAAAAAAAAAAAATCAAGTTCAAATTTTTGATTACTTCTTTATTGCAAAGTCATGCAACTTAGTTATTTATGGCTTTACTATAAAAATGCTTCATTTAAAAAAATTTTAAAATCTGGATAACTTACTTGTAAGCAGTTTTAAAACAATGAAACCTGATTTTAGGACAGAATTTATCTTACATTTATGCACTATGTTTGAGGAAAATAGTCATTGTTTAGTCTATGTGTTGATAGTTGACAGAATGCTGTTAGCTAAAACAGACAAAAATATTAAAAAAAAATGTAGAGAGAAGAGAGTGAGAAAAGGGGGGAAAATGTCAAATTGGCTTTCAAGTGAAGTGTGTATAAAACAAACAATTGACAGTTAAAAGGACACAATCACATTTATAGGATGTCTATCACAAAATATTCAGTCATTTTGAATATTTCAAGAATTTTTATTAGAATTTCTGGGACAAAGACTTATTTTACATGGAAAGAAGTAAAAATGCTATAAACAGAAGAACATTAAAAGTTAGATGTCTGAAGGAATCAGCACATGCTGGGCTATAAGGGCCTCTTAAGTAGGCCTAGCATATAAATACATGTCATAGGAGAGCCATTATAAATAAAGAGATCTGACAGAAAGGCTTCAACAGCAGCAGAAGTAAGAAAAGAGAAGCTACATTTAATGCAGTCAAGCATGACAGCAGCAGTGTGGACAGAAGGAGAGAACATTAGGTTTAAGACTCCTTGTTCTAAATTCTGGATTGTCCCAAAAGGACAATAGCCTCATGAACTAAAGCATTAGTTTGTGAATTTGGTGATGTAGTAATAGTTTAATCTTTGGGTCAAGTAGGGTCAGCACTAACTAAGCAGTACTAATGAAAAAAAAAGAAGATCAATATGAGATATTCATCTGCCCATGAATAGTCTTGAGAACAATCTGCAGTTAAAGAAATGTTCAGTTTAAAATTACAACTGAGGGAAGTCAGTGGGTACAAATGCCAAAACATTGTGGTAAAAACAACAAAGATAAGAACTATGGTCCAAATGCATATAATTGTAAATGGTTGAATGAGAACCAAACACAGTTCCTTCACTTAACCATGTCGATTATCACAAGTTGGGTCAGATACTACATCTGTTCTCTTTGCCTGACACTCAAACCGTGCAGCCACCATGAATGTATGTTTTCTGGCAAAGCACATACAATACAGCTAGAGAAAGGACCATTCACATTAACTTTGTGATCTTGACTACAGTCAACTCTATATAATTTTGAGAACTGTTTGTGTAACCTTGATATAACTTGCCAACCAATCAGAGGAGTGTTAACACTATCCCACCAAGTTATTTAGTCAGCAATGAAGCATGTGAATGTCAAATTTACAGCAGATATGTTTAAAATTTGGACATTCACCAATGGAGACTTTCAGGAAAGATTGAGGTCTAGGTACAATTTTGGTACCAGTGATTCAAACTTAGTCAAGAATCTACGGAAATGGTTGGGTTTCCGGTTCCTTCTCCCTAAATTTCCTCATTTTCTTTCATTTTCACAAATTAGAGTGTTGGTTTCACCCCCAGCAACCTCTTGTGTCTTAGTGGCATTATTGCCTTGCTTGGGGTGAAATGATTAAAAAAAAAAAAAAAATTTTAAAAGTCTGCAATTCAACAAGCAGAAAAACTTTCAATGTTGGACAGGTGTGGGAACTCCAATGAAAGAAAATTGGCAACTGATATTGTGAAAATTAGAAGAACTGGAGATTTTATAAGCAGTCCAGGAAGTCTCTTGAATATTTATCCATTCTTAAAATCTTATGCAAATTTTTTTTTTGCAATACACAGCATCATCTATGTTGGTTATCCCCCATCATGATTTGGTTCCCTGTAATTTTTGATTTTTCCTAGAGTTCACACTGACATTGAGAGTAGGGACCAGATTAAAGACAACATGACAAAACAGCTGATGTACATGTATTTAGAGATTTTTAATAAAATCCAAAGAATCTACAATGTTATCGGTCCTGAAAAAGCATCTCGACTTCAGTCACTTTCCTATCACCATAATTTTGCCTTTTCTAGAAATATTTTCATTGTAATTCTTCTGATGAGCTTTCCTCTTTGGTACCTTGACTTTACAAATTTAAGCACAATACTAGACTGGCAGTTAGGTCTCATCACTTTATAGTTGAAATGGCTAAATGTAATGGTAAGTTCTATGCTTTTGGTCTCTTCTCTTGTACTTCTCACTTTTAGAACTCTTCCAGCACCTTGCTTTCCAGTCAAATTTAAACCTCAAAAATTCAAATACAGTGTCAATCATTATCTACTCTCCTCCTGATTATTATTCTGTTTTTGCTCTTTAGTAAGTTTTCCGATTCCAAATTTTCCACACCCAGTAATCCCCTTCTGTCATAGTGGTTTTGTCTGCCTTGTACGCTCTCTCTCTCTCTCTACATATATATATATATATATATATTAAAAAAAGGTGCGATAGATAAATTGTCGCCTAAATTATACAAAAAAAAAATCACACAAAAATATCTTGTAATACTAAAGAATATATTTACTAAAAAAAAAAAAAAAAAAAAAATTGATATTGGCATCAACCACAGCCTCCAGAAAATCATGCATCTCTTCTAGGTGGTCTCCTTGTTTAAGATGGTGAATGCTGCCATAATCCTTGATTTCAGTTCATCTTTGGTGTTACAAGGAGTTTTGTTGGTCTCTCACTCAACTGCACTCCCCTCATAATAATCAAGGGGGTTGCAGTCTAGAGAGTTAGGTGGCCAGATGCAAAGGGTGATGTGGTCACAGAAATTATCTGACATCCATAACTGGGTTCTCATGCTTGTCTGACATGGTGCAGAATCCTGTTACCAGACATAGGGTCTTCCAGCAGCAGCAGCACCACCTCAAGGTACTTTATGTAGGCCTTCGTGTTGAGACTGAGGCTTTCACCAACAAATTTGGAAGTTATTTTCTTATCAGAACGATCAGAACAAATTTTCCCATCTGCTGTACCTTCATAATCACTAACAGACTCATCCAAATCTTTCCGAGTCTTTTGCACTGTCCATTTTGGAGTTTTCCAGCATGAATGCCAAGCAGTACAGCATGGAGTTTCCAAATTTCTGGTAGAGTGAATTGCATCATTGTGTTCTTTTCTCACAGATAGTGCACCACTGACCCTGGCCCTTCTATACTGTACACTTAACAAAATCAAAAACAAATATGCAGGTGTTTTTTTTTAGTGCAAATATTAAAATTAAAATGAAGGACAATTTAACCATCGCAACATGCATATTATCTATATATCTATCTATATCTATATATCTATATATATATCTATATATATCTATATATATATCTATATATATCTATCTATATATATCTATATCTATATAAATATATCATATATCTATTATCTCTATATATATATCTATATATATCTATCTATATCTATATATATATCTATATCTATATATATTATATATTCATATCTATATATATATCTATCTATCTATATATATATATATATATATATATATATATATCTATCTATATATATCTATATATATATCTATATATATCTATCTATATATATATATATCATATATATATATATCTATCTATATATATTCATCATTATATATATCTATCTATATAATCATCTAAAATATCATTCATTCATATATATTATCTATATATATCATCTATCTATCTATATATCTATCTATATATATATATCATCTATATATATTCATTATCTATTATATCTATATCTATCTATATTCATATCTATCTATATACATTCATCTATATATATATCTATATATATATATCTATATATATCTATCTATATAATCTATATATCTATCTATATATATATCTATCTATATTCATATATATATATATCTATATTATATCTATATTTCAGAAGTGCAAGAAACTTTTTAGGTGGCAAATATTCACTTCCATTTTGCCAACTTATTTTTTGTATTTGTAGCCAGGTAAATACAATACAAATATACTTAATTTAAAAAAAATTTGTTTTTTTTGTATTCTTCTGTAGTCGTTTGAATATAGAGAAAAATATATTTTATATTGACAAGCTTAAAAAATTCTCCTGAAAATGAATCTTGGGATGAAGAATTTGCACTTTGGATAATACTGCAGAGTAAGGGTTAAGCTAGACCATTTTTTTTTTTTTTACTGTATGCCAAAGAGTTGCAAAGAAACCAAGAGCAAAAGGAAAGAGAGGATGGCAGATATCCTCAGTAGGCAAGTCTCCTTGCTTGATTCTGAAACTTTGAAAACTCACTTTGCTGCACAATTTTTCGGCATCTGTCCTGGTCTTTATCACATTCATGGACACTGTGTGTTGCATTATCAAACCAATCGCCACAGTCTTGTTGATGGTAAGAGTTGCACACAAAACATTTTATTCCGTAACCTGCAAAATGAATAAATGAATTCAAATAAGACACTGAGTGCATAGACATTTTTCAAGGTTGATCAATATAATGGTCAGATTTTGTATTCAAAAGACATAGAACAAGAAAAGTTTCTAGAGTAATAGAAGGAAAAAAAGAAAACAATATAAGATGAAGTTATTTGTGATCCCTAACCGTTTTGTAAAATACATATATATAAAATATATACACACACACACACACACACACACACGTAGTAATCCATTGGTATAATCCAAGCAAGTCCTATTAACACAATATAATATTTGAAACATGTTAAAACAGACTCACAAAGAGCACTCAATGTTTATTTTTATGAAACAGAGCAAAATTTTCTTTACAATGGGAATTAAGATACCATTAGTTAATGACCATTTTCACCTATGAATTTTACTTTTAAAATTTCAGGGATTTTTCAAACTGTTTATGGTATCAGATATCACTTGCCTAGATTTCTTTCTATGGGGTTATGTTAGAGACATGGTGAACAAAAATACAAGACATCGTTATTCTAAAACAAAAGAGGCCATTGCCACCATTGGTGAGTATGCTATAGTGAACATAGCAAGAAGTCGAGTACTGTGTTGATGTGTTTCATGCAACTAATGGTGCTCATATAGAGGTGTTTAAAATTAGTTAAAATAAACTTCAATATGTACAGCTCATTTTGTAAGAATTTCCACATATTTGTCTGTTCATTTGCTTTTGTAATAAATATTTAAATTGTAAAGAGACTTTATGGACACCCTGTATATAATAAAAACAAAAAACACACACGCAGAGCTTACATCACAACACTATAGTTCTATAAAACTCATCAATTGTTTATACCTACAGAGATGGTGACTTAAGTTTAAAAGCTTGGACCATATTTCTAGTACTTTTCTTCCAAAAAAAAAAAAAAAAAAAAAAACTGAACTATTTTTTGATGAAATTTCCTTTGTCTGAAAAGGATTATTTGTAATTTAGAAAAGATGATCATTAAAATGAATCAACACTAAATGTTATATATATATATATATATATATATATATATATATAAAATGGGTAGGTCACTTCAAATGTAATGCCCCTTATTTTAATATGTTCATCCACATCAGAGGCATATTGTGGTACCCTGTCAGCACACCCACTTAAAAAAAAAAAAAAAATCTGGAAGAAAAAAAGACTGGTTCAGGATGATGATACTGTGGTATCTGTTCTACTGCCATGAACAGCTAAGACAAGTTTTGTGCCCGATCCCATGCAAGAATGGCCTGAGTGCACGTGCTCTGGTTCTTCAAGTTAAATAACTTACTTTGTGTCACATCCAATCTTAGTGGGGAGTTAAGGGTAAATACTAGTGTTATGCAGCACAGATGACTAGGATCAAAGTTTAGTTTGTTCTAGGAGCAGCCAACTGCCTATCCACAGCTCCTGGCCATCAGCAGCAGCTCCAGCTTGTCAGCAGCCATCACTCCAGTAGGCCTCCAGCTACAGCCATCCTTGCCAATGACATGCAATAAATTGTCCTTTTCAGAACAACTCGAGTAACCAGAAAACTCATTCTCAGGACATTCACTCTATTGACCACAAAACTGTCCTTCTCAGGACAACACTATTTCTCACCCTCTACATGAGCTCTGCCTAGTTTACACAAACATCATTTTTGTTTATTTTTCTTTAACAAAAATAAATTTGGCAAAATTTATTTCTACTAAAGTCTTTGTTTTGTTTGTTGTTGTTGTCTGTCATTCAATATCTGTTTGCAGGCCAATATATCACCCACAACGAGATGATGAGAGTATAGCAGTAAAGATTGAACCTTCCCACTAACAACCCATAATTTCTGAATGCAGTCACACAGTAGTCTGGCAAAATGTCATTTGACATGAAAGTGTATATGAAGCCAATGAAAACTTCAATACAGAAAAAAATTGCAGCCTCTGAGATAGTGAATGTTTACAAAAACCAAACAGTAAATGCAAGCACAGTTAGGTAGTAGGTAATGCATTTTCTTTAAAATAATTTTTATTTTTTCAAGTACTTTCAATCTCATTCAAGACCATCTTCAAGGGTTGCATATCTATGGATGTGTTGTACACTGTAAATTCAAGATACCTTTTTCTATCTCTATGCAATGCAAGTAACTTAAGTGATTTTTTTTTTTAAGTTTTAATTGCAGTATTTTTTATATAACACTTTGCTACCTAAAATAAAGTATACTAACAAATTTCTTAAATATTTGTAGCAGCAAAGTATTATATAAAAAATACTAAATTAAAATACTATAATTTTTAAAAATTTTTTACAGCCAGCAAGAAATTAATTTGTGGACAAGAAAGGATTAAAACTAAAAGAGACAGACATAAAACGTCTAAAATTTTATATATATATATATATATATATATATATATATATATATATATATATATATATATATATATATGTTATAGACTTTTAGCTTTTACCAAAAAAATTTAGCTTCTGACCATGCCATTTTAGAACAGATGCCAATTGTAAACTTTAAAGCTTTCATTTTTTAATTAAATCTTTCATGAACTGTGATAGAAACAAGCTCCAATTAACCTTAGGCAAAACTCTTCACACAGTCACCATACTAACACTGCTTTCCAAAAGGTGATATTTCATTTAATGGCAAAAATAGGATTATCAGTATATTTTTAATTAATCTAAGTCTTTTACTGGTGTTGGTGATATAGTACTGAACATGATAGGCATAAAGAAAAAAATAAATTATATAGAGGAGAATAATAAAAGCAAATAAAGCTTAACATCTCCAAATTATAATGGCAGTAAGTGTGTCAAAAATGCACAGATAAAAGTATTAAATACTAAAGCAATAAAGATAAAAAAAAAACCCCTCTCCTAAAGGATTACAGAGAGCTGTAGCCTTATACAGATTAGAGTGACTTAATCTAGATAATTGCCTTCTAATTTATTATCTTATCTGAGAGAGGTAGATAGATCTTCTTTACACACATGACCCACTTCCTAAAATCAGCATTCTGATATTCCCATTGAAATAGATTTTGGGAAATAGCCATATGTACAAGAGAGGGCTAAAAAGTTCTCCAGCTGACCAAAAAAGCCCTTTATAATTTTTTTTTTTTTTTTTAAATCAGTTTACTCACAAGCAAGGCAATAATGCCACTGAGATGCAAAAGAGATAACTGGAAATTTCTCCACCTGATCAGATATATAAAATAATAATAATAAATATATATCTATATATCTGTTAATCCATTCACCCTCAAACAAAGCAATAATGCAATTATGACACAAGGGGCTACTGTAAGTGAAAAGATTTTAGAATGAATTGGAAACCCAATCTTAAATGGGGAAACTCGAGATAAACCTTTAAACTTCTGGGAGGAGTAATAATTTATTATTATTATTATAATTATTATTGGACCATCTATTTAAGAACAACCTATGATGTGCTATACTTAGTGAGTTAGTGAATGAGTGTTAGTTTTGCCAAATATTTTACAAGTTTAATGCTTGCTAAAAGCAACTCCTAATTATCCTAACTTGCCTTTGAAGTGCCCAATATCAACATCAGAATCCATAGTTTGCCTTTTTAAATGCCCGTCTCCGCATCGGGACCCATAGTTTGCCTTCTTTTAAATGCCCGTCTCTGCATCGGGACCCATAGTTTGCCTTCTTTAAATGCCCGCTCACGCATCGGGACCCATAGTTTGCCTTCTTTAAATGCCCGTCTCGCGCCGGGACCCATAGTTTGCCTTCTTTTTAAATGCCCGTCTCTGCATCGGGACCCATAGTTTGCCTTCTTTTAAATGCCCGTCTCTGCATCGGGACCCATAGTTTGCCTTCTTTTAAATGCCCGTCTACGCATCGGGACCCATAGTTTGCCTTCTTTTAAATGCCCATCACGCGCCGGGACCCATAGTTTGCCTTCTTTTAAATAAATGTCGCATCGGGACCCATAGTTTGTCTTTTTTAAATGCCCGTCTACGCATCGGGACCCATAGTTTGCCTTCTTTTAAATGCCCGTCTACGCATCGGGACCCATAGTTTGCCTTCTTTTAAATGCCCGTCTCCGCATCGGGACCCATAGTTTGCCTTCTTTTATCAAGAGTGCATGCTATTGGGTTGACCAAATAGTTTTAGTTTATCAAGTAAATTTGATACTTAATAACTTAAATCAATAATTTTAAACGGCTGTCATCTGCTAGCAGCAAATCAAATTACTCACAGCTTAACTAGAGTGATTAAGCAATGGACAATATTTAAATTAGCTTAGGTTGCAAGTTGATTAATTTGTTGTTTTTGTTTAGTGGCATATCAAATTCTGAAATCTAAATATTTTGTACGCAATGATTTTGCATTTTTTTTTTTTGAGAGAGAGATAATAATGGTTTAGTAATAAAAGTCTTACTTATTAACACATAGCTGGGGGGAGAAGAGGTGGATTTATACCTTTCCCAAAAGTATGGAGTGTAAGTGGATATAATAAACCCAACTGGAATCAGAATTCTACTCTGATTAACATTTCTGAGCCATTATCCACTACACCACCTACATATCCAAGCTTACAAAACCTGGTATTCCAAAACAGTCACCCATCTTGTTACTGACCAGGTTTGACATTGTTCAATTTCAGTGATTATACAGAAATTGGTGTTTCAGTATGATCTGGCCATAAGCTAGGTTGCTAGTTGAGATGACCCTAACCCATTGTTTCAAGCATTTTACTTCAGGGCACAATTGTAGAATAACAAAATCTCTACTGTGCATTTTAAATTTTAATAAGGAAAAATTAGTCATAAAATTTGAAAAGAGGAAAATAAGTCTCCTGAAATAAGCATTTATTTTGAAGACATTACATTGTATATTTAAGTGGTACAGTTTTCATTGAAAAAGATTTATGAAGAATCTGCTATCTCTTTTAGAGGCTCATAATGACCGATTTAAATCGGTTGGGAAAGGCAAAAGGGAGAGGATTATACACTCCTTAAAGATTAACGAATTTAGCATTTAGTTTAAAATATCAAATGAGAAAGACTTGACTTAGACATGAAAGCCATGAGCTTGGTATCTAACTTTTTAAAAACAAAGATATTTTTTTTAAATATAAAAATAATTCAGAAATTACTTTTTTGTTAAATTGGGGTCCACCTGGCCAACTTCTACAGTGCATTAGTGTGTGCCCAGGCACATATGTTAAGAAACACTGCACCAAGCTTATCAAATATTTAGATGGTTGTATGAGATTAGCCCAAATATGTTGATAGTCAATATGTCTGTTAAAAAAATGTGCAACTTAAAGTATACAAGAAACTATTTTGACAAATGTCCTCATTTTTCTTGTTATAGTCAAATTGCTTTGGCGACTGTATCCTTTGGTTATCTTCAAGTATTTGTTGTATTTAGTAACCTAGGAATTTTGAACTAAAACACTATTCAATCTGCAAGAATGTTTGATTGATTGGTCATTTGTTTTTTTAAAGCTTATCAAAACATTGTAGGTAATTTAAAGTCAAAATATTTTTTTTATTCTAAGAATGAATAATTCTTTTTTTTGTTACTCAATATGGCATAAATATTTTTTTTTTTTTAGATAATTTTTTCAGATACAATTCCTACTATATAACCCATAACTAGGAGAGAAGAGAGGGACTCATACCTTTCCTAGTAGTATTTGTGTATAAGCAAATATCACAAACCAAAATGGAATCAGAACTTTACTCTCTGATTAACAATTTCAAGCCATTATCCATTACACCACTTGCACATCCAAGCTTACAGCACCTGGTATTCCCAAGCAGTTGCCTATCTAAGTACTGACCAGGCTTGACATTACTTAACATCAGTGATTGTATAGGAACTAGTGTTTCAACATGATGTGGGCATAAGCTAGGTTGCAAGTTGAGATGACCCTAACATTATCAAATATTTAAATGGCAGTTTTGAGATTAACCTGAAGATGATGATAGACAATACGTCTGTTAAAAGAATGTATAACTTAAAGTATACAAGAAACTATTAGGACAAATGTCCTCATTTTTCTTGTTATAGTCAAATTGTTTTGGCCATCTTCAAGTATTTGTTGTATTTAGTAACCTAAAAATTTTAAACTGAACATTATTCAATCTACAAGAATGTTTGACGGATTGGTTGGTTGTTTTTTAAAGCTTATCAAACCATTGTAAGTTATTTAAAGCCAAAATATTTTTTATGCTAATTTTGTGACTATACATTGCATAAGCACTTTTAGTACAGACCTAAACTTCAGTGAAACAAGGAAAGCAGTAACTGAACAGTACTGGATAAGAACTGGATATTCCTTGACATAGACAGCAGAACGAGAACGACCTTCTCCAAAAGATCAAAGAGTTAAGTTTGAAATTCTTCTGACAGAGATCAGTTTCTAAAGCAAACATAAAAATGTTGAAAACAGTAATTACATGAGCGAGTATTGTAATTTCACAATTTGTTTTAGTATAAACGTGTTTGTAAATATTTACCAAGCTTACCTTAGTCTCACAAGACACTAATAACTGAGCAGCAAATGCAAAATAAATTCACTAGTAATGATTTACAATGCAGGTTTGGTAATCATAGCACTATGTTTGAAGCTAAGTATACTTATAGGAACAAATAGGCTAAAGATTTGTGGAAACCAATCAGTAAAGGTACTAACACAATAAATAATCTGAACTTAAAATATCAACACTATATTCCCATCTTTAATAGCCATGGCAATAAGTATCGTCAGTTTAAAAAAAAAAAAAAAAAAAAAAAATCAATAGAGAAACCTATCAGTACAGATTAATTTGATATTAATCATCTTTCACTAACACTGTCATAACCTATTGCAGTAGGGATGTTTAACATTAGGTATGGGCAACATTTTCTTATATTTTATGAAAATGCAGAAAAAGAAAAAAAAAAGAAAGAGAAAATGCAGAAAAAGAAAAAAAAAAGAGAGAGAAAATGCAGAAAAAGAAAAAAAGAGAGAGAAAAAAAAAGAGAGAGAAAATGCAGAAAAAGAAAAAAAGAGAGAGAAAATGCAGAAAAAGAAAAAAAGAGAGAGAAAATGCAGAAAAAGAAAAAAAGAGAGAGAAAATGCAGAAAAAGAAAAAAAAAGAGAGAAAATGCAGAAAAAGAAAAAAAGAGAGAGAAAATGCAGAAAAAGAAAAAAAGAGAGAAAATGCAGAAAAAAGAAAAAAAGAAAAATGCAGAAAAGAAAAAAGAGAGAAAATGCAGAAAAAAAAAAAAAAGAGAAAAAATGAAAAAAAGAAAAAAAGAGAAAAGAAAAAAAAAAAAGAGAGAAAATGCAGAAAAAAAAAAAAAAAAAGAGAAAATGAAAAAAAGAGAAAATGCAGAAAAGAAAAAAAGAAAAAAAAAAAAGAAAAAAAAAATGAAAATGCAGAAAAGAAAAAAAAAAGAGAAAATGCAGAAAAGAAAAAAAGAGAGAAAAAAAAAAAAAAAGAGAAAATGCAGAAAAAAAAAAAAAGAGAAAATGCAGAAAAAAAAAAAAAAAAAAGAGAAAATGCAGAAAAGAAAAAAAAAAGAGAAAAAGAAAAAAAAGAAAAAAAAAGAAAAAAAAAAAAAGAAAAATGCAGAAAAAAAAAAAAAAAAAAAGAAAAAAAAAGAGAAAATGCAGAAAAAGAAAAAAAAAGAGAAAATACAGAATTTTTTTTTTATGCATAGAACTTATTCACTCACCTGTCAAAGAATGATGGTAATCAAATTTTACAGGTTACTGCTACTAATTTTAATCTTTAATAGGTGCCATTCTTTGGAAACCTTTTGCCCGAGATTAATATCAACATTAAACCTGTACACAATTTGGGAATACATTTAACTTGTCACTAGTCGATCTCTAAGAAGACATTTTTTCCTCTATAAAAAATAAATGCAATGTTTATAATAAAAATGAAACAGTTAAATGGATTTGAATAGCAGGAAAGATCTTTTAATGTTATTTCTGACATTTGATAATTCTCCCTTTTTTCTAAACACCTTTTAATATGATATAAAAATATGTTAAATATAAAATATTAATTATAAATAAAGTATAAAAGTCAGTGAGTTAAGTGCCATATGTAATACACATTTGGGCGATCAGATTTCTTTGATTCTTGAGTGACTAGATAGAAGATTTTCATACAGTAGGCTGGCATCTCTTTCTGCAGCCGACTGGTTGTCAATCAAGGCTATAGGACCCACTCTGTCCTGCTATTCATCCCATAGTTAGGGGGGAAAAGATTCATATTTTTCCCAATGATAATTCAAAGTTGATTAGGTTTGTAACATATAGAGCAAATGTAGTGTGTGTGTATATTATATATATATATATATATATATATATATATATATATATATATATGGTTATTTATACCTATATGTACCTTGTTGTCTCTAAAAAAAAAAAAAAAAAGCATAGCATGATGAAAAAGCCCCAAACTTAATAAGAACAAAGTTTTGTCAAAATGTTTATGCAATTATTAAGAGGAAAGGCCAAAGGATTTTTAATTATTTTATTTTTAAACTTTCTACTCCTTTCTAACACTTGAAATTTTCTTTTTTTTTTTTAAAATCATTGTTTTTTTTTTTTTTTATATGTCAACAGTATAACAGAACTGGTAATGGAATTTTTTGCAATTGTTTTCTGGTAAAATAAGCCAATTTGGAAAGTCTTGCAAAAAAAAAAAAAAAAAAAAAAAAATCAAATAATCGGATTTTAATGAAACTTTCAGATTTTTTTTTTTTTTACAAACTTAATTTCATGAAATTTCTAGAAAATAAATTTATCTTCATTTTTTTTTTTTTTTTTTAGTTAAAAGTTGGGATTTCATTATAGCGATGAAGGCTTTGTGCAGAACCAACCACACTTTTTAAAGAGCTGAATAGAGAGACCTGGTGCACTACATGCCACAAGGTCCCCAAACAACCTTCTGCAGGTTTTGAATTCAGAGTTGTTCTTCTAGACCAGTTGCCATCCAAGGCTGTAGAACCCAGTCTGTCCTGCTATTTACCCATAGCTGGGGGGAGAAGAAGCGGATTCATAACTTTCTCAAAGGTATTAGCAGTAAGTGAATGTAATGGATTTGACTGTAATTTGAACATGGCTCTCCGATTCCTAAATCGGTGCCGCTGTCCATTACTCCACTGTGTGTGTGTGTGATGATGGCCTAGAGGTAAGATATCTGACTGATGTCAAATCAGTTGGGTTTTGATCCCAGCTTGAAGCAATCAGACGTCAAGCCACACTGAGGAGGTGTGATACAGCAAAACTGTCTATATATATATATATATATATATATATATATATGGGTGTGTGAGTGACTGAGAGACATGGAGGGACGGACAGACAAGGAGAGAATAAATATAAAGTAAATCAGTTGTTTTAGCTGAGGTCTGTCAAATGCTTAGCATTCAAGTTCTTTAGTAGACAAATTTAGGTTTATTTTTGTGAATCAGGCACACTGCCAAGATTATATATATATATATATATGAAATGTAACTTGAATTTATTTAAGATTAACAAATTTTCTAAATAACAATTATATAAAAAAAATGTCATCTTTTTCCAAGTACATTAATCCAACAGATTGTTATCTATGGCATCGTGACAGTTTATGCGATGTTTATTGTGGCAGTCATTCAAGGTTACCAGAGGTCATCAAAGAATATAGTATACCTGCCATTTCAGTCAAAATTAAGCAATTTCTAGCAGAATATGTTCTTTTGCTATGAAGTACAAACGCAGTTCACTGACTTCACAAAAGTTAGGGGGATAAGGTCAAATTTGACCTTTGAGGTCAGGAGAGGTAGAAAATAGCTTGTTGCTTTCACAAGTTGTATTGCAGCCAAACAATTACATTCTTGGAGATAAATTAGTAAGTGCGAGCAAGTTGGAAAGAACAAGATGAAAAGTAGAGCTGATTTCCAAGGTCATCTGAGGTCACCAGAGGTCAATTCTAGATTAAAATATTTTTCCAACCAAATGAAAGAAAAGGACTAAAAAGCCTGATTTTTTTTTTTTTTTTTTGAAAATATTGTGCAGCCCTGAAAAACGATTTCTAACAGGAATTTTTTAAATTTTCTGGTTAAAAATTTTTTTATTAGCCATTTTAAATATGAGCATCAGAAATCATGAGTTTCATAACCTATTAGGATCATAAGTGCACCATGTATACTGCTGGCATAGCAACAATGGTTTTGTCTGTGGAAAGATCGGCTGAAGAAACCCAATTCTCTTCAGGCGTGCTTTGAATTCAGAACTGTTCTTTCTTTTCGAGTGGTTGCCATGTAAAGCCATATAAGCTATTTGATTCATAGCTGGGAGGAGAAGAAATGGATTCATTACTTTTCTAAAGGTATTTGTGTGAAAGTAAAGATGAGCCCAGATTTTGAATTGTCTAGCTAATTCTACATTTCACTTGTTTTGCTACCAACACATAAGAAAATGGTACAGAGAAGGTGGGGGGGATAAAGAGGATTTGTTCTTTCTTAGAAACCCATAATTCCAATAAAGTTACTTGAGAGGTTCAGCTTTATCATGATCAAGACACAAGAACAATCTTTCAATGTTGTTTGCCTCAACCTGATACCTCCAAGTTTTTTTCCTATGGCCAGCACTATATTGCTTATTTTAGAATTGGATCACTAAGTAATTTTTTTTTTTTTTATATGGTCACACACAGACAGAAGCTCCATCAAATTTGTTTTGTGCCTCAAATTATTTCTTCAGTAATGCATACTTTTTCTTGTATAAATAGCCTAAGTAATCTTCTCTTGTGTAAGAAAACAGTAAAAGAAATTTTTTTTTTCTTGCCAGGTTATATTTGAAGTTAGCTCACTCCAGATATCTTTGCCTATTTCTGAGAATGATGCCAATAAAC